CAGGTGTGGTCTAACCAAAGCGGATTTATCCATTTATTATTTTTCATGTTTATCATTTTATTTTTCATTTCCTATTTTATTCTACCTATTATATTTTGTTTGCATTATGTTTCTTTTGGTATATTTGCTTTGATGTAAAAATATAATGAATATAATATTAAATATATTGTGTTATTTATTAAATATTATTTCATTTATTATATTTTTGTGTTATATTTATTTAATATACTATACATTTATTTGATTGATTGATTTATTTATAATGAATAAAATATTTGTTTATATTATTCATTTTATGTTATTTTATTTTGTTATTTATATAATTTTGTTATTTATTAGAATGTATATAATAATATTTATTATAGTTGTTATTAAATACTGAACTTGGATGTGGCTACGTTGTTTTTAATGGATATATTATAATTTAATCTTTTAATTAATGTTTAACTTGTGTTATATTGTTATGTTGTATGTGTACTGTCGCACGCTGGGCCTGTGTGTAAGACTGTAGACAGGACATAAATTCTGTGTGCCCAACGGTACGCCGGGGCTGCCTCAGATTAAAGGCCCTTTGATTCCCCCAAACAGAGTCTTTAGATTGCTTAAACTTAAGGTTCAACAATGTTCTTAATTAATGAAAACAAACAGGTACTTTCAAGCTTTCTTAACAGTCTATTGTCTCTTGCAATCTTGTTCACTGGGAACAGGCACTATCTTCTTAACTGTAATTAACCAATGGGGAAATCCTTAACTTCTAATCTGGGCAGTCTGTACTTGCCTCTGTTGGCGTGGAGCTCCTGCACCTGGTACCAACTGCGTCTGGCTTCTGCGAACGACCCTTACCAAGCAGAGCTTTGTAGACTTCCAGGGGAAAAGAACGAGTTCAGGTTTCAGTGATGGCTAGCTGAAGTCCTTCAGCAAAGGAGCTGTAAGGCTGTAAAATCCTCAGCCAAACTGTGGGGCCTTTTCTCCCCGGCCAAGCTGTAGAGCCATTTCTCCCCGGCCAAGCTGTAGGCTGTATATCTCCCCGGCCAAGCCATAGAAGACGAAGCTTTCTACAGGAGCTCTTGGTATTATGTCCTGTGTGAAAGGCTTCTCTGTGTGGACTGAACCCAAGAAGGCTCCTATTCCCTCCAAAAACCCAAAAAGGGGGCGGGACCAGGGAACCTAACTATAATTGATGAGTGGCTTGCCCTATGATTGCAGCCAAAAGAAGCCACCTATCTGCAGAGTCCTTGAAACTTAGGACTATAACAAACATTCAATGCAAAGCAAACAAAATTGGAGCTCCTGGTACAGCTGTACCTGCACAGTATGTGTTGCCAGTTGTAATCCGCCCTGAGTCCCCCCTCGGGGGTTGAGAAGGACGGGGTACAAATGTTTGAAATAAATAAATAAATAATACTTAGACAAACCATTAGTGAATATAAACTGTATTCTGTTAACAGTGTAAGCCCATGTAATACAGTTTAGTACCGTTCAAACTGCATTGTTTGATCTACAGTGACCATAGAACGCAGTTTCAAACTCTATTACGTGGCAATGTGGCTCCAGCCTAACTTCCTCTGCCCGTTCCCATGCAAAAATAACAATAATAAATTATCCCACCAACTTATTATCTTGCCATCTTATGAACTTCCTATCCTAGACACTTTTTAAATGCTATAATGTCAATCAAAACCATAAACCACCAATGAACAAGTGTATAGCTAGCTTAGACCAATGAAATGATTTGTCTTTGGGAACCAATGAAAATGTATACTCCATTTACTACCAAAGTGACTGGAATGACCTTGAAGGAGCTGGGGGTGGTGACGACCGACAGGGAGCTCTGGTGAGGACTGGTCATGAAGTCACAACGAGTCGGAAACGACTTAACGAATGAACAATAACAAACCAAAGTGATAAAAGCTCTGCAGCCCCATTGGGGGTTACGACAAACCCTTTGATTGCATTCCTGTATGCTTGTTTGTCGTTATTGGGGTCTGGAGAACAAGGGTCTGGAGAACAAGCCCTATGAGGAGCGGTTTTGCAGTTTAGAAGATTCAACTTTTGTGGTATCCATCGTTGCCCTCCCCATTGGAAAGGGGCTCATGCCTTTTTGGGAAATATTTTGGTTTCTTTGCCCCTACAGTTGGATTATGTGATTGGACAATGTTTTTAATAGGAGACTCTAATGTTCATGTTTTTACTGATTTTGTTATGGTTTTATTATTTGATGGTTTTATTGTATTGATATTGTATTTTATGGTCATGGTACCAATTGTAAACAGTCCCGAGTCGCCTGCGGGCTGAGAGGGACGGTATAGAAATACCTATATAAATAAAAATGTAATGTTTGTTTGTAGGATTAACAGAACTCAAAAACCCCTGGACGAATTGAAACCAAATTTGGACACAAGACACCTTACAACCCAACGTATGTCCTTCACTCCAAAAAAATGATTTTGTCATTTGGGAGTTGTAGTTGCTGGGATTTATAGCTCACTTACAATAAAGAGCATTCTGAACCCCACCAACGATGGAATTGAACCAAACTTGGCACACAGTTCTCCTATGACTAACAGAAAATACTGGAAGGGTTGGGTGGGCAGTGTCCTTTGGTTTTGGAGTTGTCGTTCACCTACTGTTGGGGTTCAGCCTGATCCTGATCTGTGTGAACCGGATTCTCTGATAGTTTTTCCAACTGAGCAAGCTCTCCCTGACCCTGACAGTGTGGAATCTATTGTTGATGCAGAGGTCAGCGGGGATGAAAAGGAAACTCAACAGCTGGAGGAAAATGTTTTGGAAGTTAGCTGTGATATCACTAGCCGTGATATCTCTCCACCTTGGGTTTTTAATGAGAACCGAAGAGAACAGATAGTTAGAGACAGAAATATTCCCCAGTTTCTACGAAGGTCACTTCGTTTACAGGAGAGACAGGCCCAGGCTCCAAAGTCAAGGGGCGTTTCAAAGAATAGCTTCTTTGGTTTAAGAGGCCTCCTGCCGGGCTCCTCTTTAGATCAAGCAACGTTTGGGACTATGGCTGTGCCTTGGCAGAATTCCTGTGTTTCATGGCCGGTAATCCCAGAGGCTTGTATTTATCAAGTTCATGGTTAGTAAAAGACTAACAGGTTCCTGGTTCTTGTTTTGTGGCTTTTGAAATTTTGCTCAAGTTCAGAGATTCTACTGACTGCTGTGTTTTTCTGTGGCTTTTTGACTCTGCGTTTACCTTTCTTTTGTAACCAATTTTTCATCAATAAACAAGGATTGCTTTTCCTACACTCCAGTGTGGTGGATTTAATCTTAGGGTCTCGTTCCTTGAACTGGGATGCAACACCTACATCTAGAGATCACTGTGGATTCAAACAAGGATGGATCTGGACCAAACTCTACACGAATACTCAATATGCCCAAATATGAACACTGGTGGAGTTTGGGGAAAAGTATAATCTTGACATTTGGGAGTTGTAGTTGCTGGGATTTATAGTTCACCTACAATCACAGAGCATTCTGAATCCCAGCAATGATAGAATTGAGCCAAACCTCCCACACGGAACCCCCATGTGGGCAACAGCAACGCGTGGCAAGGGATGGCTAGTATATATGTTGTTGTTCTTCATTCGTTCAGTCATCTCCGACTCTTCGTGAACTCATGGACCAGCCCACGCCAGAGCTCCCTGTCGGCCGTCACCTCCGCCAGCTCCTTCAAGGTCAGTCCAGTCACTTCAAGGATGTCATCCATCCATCTTGCCCTTGGTCGGCCCCTCTTCCTTTTACCTTCCACTTTCCCCAGCATAATTGTCTTCTCTAGGCTTTGCTGTCTCCTCATGATGCGGCCAAAATACTTCAACTTTGTCTCTAGTTTCCTTCCCTCCAGTGAGCAGTCGGGCTTTATTTCCTGGAAGTATGGACAGGTTGGATCTTCTTGCAGTCCAAGGCACTCTCAGAACTTTCCTCCAACACCACAGTTCAAAAGCATCTATCTTCCTTCGCTCAGCCTTCCCTAGGTCCAGCTCTCACATCCGTAGGTTACTACAGGGAATACCATGGCTTTGACTAGGCAGATCTTTGTTGCCAGTCTGATGTCTCTACTCTTTACTATTTTATCGAGATTGGACATTGCTCTCCTCCCAAGAATTAAGCGTCTTCTGATTTCCTGGCTACAGTCTGCATCTGCAGTAATCTTTGCACCTAGAAATACAAAGCCTGTCACAGCCTCCACATTTTCTCCCTCTATTTCCCAGTTGTCAATCATTCTTGTTGCCATAATCTTGGTTTTTTTTATGTTTAGCTGCAACCCAGCTTTTGCGCTTTCTTCTTTCACCTTGATTAGAAGGCTCCTCAGCTCCTCCTCGCTTTCGGCCATCAGTGGTGTCATCTGCATATCTGAGGTTGTTAATGTTTCTTCCAGCAATTTTCACCCCAGCTTTGCATTCATCAAGCCCCGCACATCGCATGATGTGTTCTGCATACAAGTTAAAAAGGTTGGGTGAGAGGATGCAGCCTTGCCGGACGCCTTTCCCAATCTTGAACCAGTCTGTTGTTCCGTGGTCAGTTCTGACTGTTGCCACTTGGTCCTTGTACAGATTCCTCAGGAGAGAGGGAAGGGGGCTTGGGATGCCCATCCCACCAAGAACTTGCCACAATGATGGATCTGGACCATCATTGGGATGCAACACCTACATCTAGAGATCACTGTGGATTCAAACAAAGATGGATCTGGACCAAACTCTACACGAATACTCAATATGCCCAAATATGAACACTGGTGGAGTTTGGGGAAAAGTATAATCTTGACATTTGGGAGTTGTAGTTGCTGGGATTTATAGTTCACCTACAATCACAGAGCATTGTGAATCCCAGCAACGATAGAATTGAGCCAAACCTCCCACACAGAACCCCCATGTGGGCCACAGCAACGCGTGGCAGGGGACGGCTAGTAGTAAATAAAATAAATAATCCATAAGAGAAAGGTGGGAAGCAGGGGGAGGTGCCTGGGAGGCCCCAAGGGTCCTGACCTCCAGGAGGGGTTCAGGCTCGGGCTCCGGCTCGGACTCGGTGGACTCCTCCTCCTCGGCCTCTTCTTCCTCGGCCTCCTCCTCCTCCTCCTCCTCGGCCCGCTGGCCTTCGTGGCCGGGTCCCTCCATCTCCCGCGAGAGGCGCTCCCCGACGCGGCCCAGCAGATGCGAGAAGCCGAGCGGCGAGGAGGCGCCCACCGCCGCCCAGGAGCGCATCAGGCCCAGCACCACCTCGCTGGCGCCCTTCAGGGACAGCCCTTTCCGCACCCCGCCCTCCATGGCCCGGCCTTCCCTTGCCTTCGAGCCTAAACAACTTCTCAAGGCAGTGCCATCTTTGTTTACACGCCGTTGCCTGGCAACCACATGGAAGCTGGAGTGCCTGCCCAATCAGGAGCGAAGATGCGTTGCCTGGCAACCAGAGGAAGCTGGAGCACCTGCCCAATCAGGAGCGAGGATGCGTTGCCTGGCAACCAGAGGAAGCTGGAGCACCTGCCCAATAGGGAGCGCCGATGCGTTGCCTGGCAACCAGACACTGCCCAATCAGGAGCGACGATGCGTTGCCTGGCAACCAGGAAGCCTCCAAAGAATGGCTGAGGGAACTGGGCCTGTTTGGCTTGAGGCCTTTCCACACAGCCACACAGAATCATAGAATCAAAGAGTTGGAAGAGACCTCATGGGCCATCCAGTCCAACCCCATTCTGCCAAGAAGCAGGAATATTGCATTCAAATCACCCCTGGCAGATGGCCAGAATATCAAGGCCTGGGATTATCCCACATGCTTTTTTGTTGAGTTCCAGGGCCAGAGAAGCAGATGGCGGAAACAGAAGAATGGGGAGCGTGCCTGCTCCATCCATGTTCAACATCTACACAAATGACCAGCCACTGCCAGAAGGGACAGAGAGTTTCATCTATGCTGATGATCGTGCCATCACCGCCCAAGCAGGGAGATTTGAGATGGTGGAACAGAAGCTCTCTGAAGCTCTAGGTGCTCTTGCTGCCTATTACAGGGAAAACCAGGTTGCTCCATCAATGTTTAACATGGACACAAATGACCAGCCACTGTCAAAAGGAACAGAAAGTTCTTCTACGCTGATGATGACGCCATCACCGCTCAAGCAAGGAGTTTTGAGATGGTTGATCAGAAGCTCTCTGAAGCTTTAGGGCCAGAGAAGCAGATGGTGGAAACAGAAGAACGGGGAGCGTGCTTGCTCCATCCATGTTCAACATCTACACAAATGGATGGAACAAATCAAGAACTTTGGTCCCAAAGCAAGGCGCTGGCTGCTGGAGCTGATGAACAACTGCACGGCATCCTGTCAGATCCCCAAAATCTGGAGGAAAGCAAGAGACATCGCCATCCTGAAGCCAGGCAAAGACCGTAATGACCCAAAAAGCTACAGACCAATCTCCCTGTTGTGCCACCTCTACAAAGTTCTGGAGAGACTTATTTTGCATAGAATTACGAAAAAATAGACCCCTGTCTCATCCCACAGCAAGCTGGCTTCAGAAAAGGCAAAAGCTGCACATCGCAAGTGTTGAACCTGACTCAGCACATAGAAGATGGCTTTGAAAGGCAGCAGATCACAGGAGCTGTCTTCATAGACTTATCAGCAGCCTATGATACTGTGAACCACCGCCTCCTCCTGAGAAAAATGTATAATATCACAAAGGACGACCATCTCACCCGCCTCATAGGAAACCTGCTACAAAACAGGAGCTTTTTTGTTGAGTCCCAGGGCCAGAGAAGCAGATGGCGGAAACAGAAGAACGGCCTGCCTCAGGGGAGCGTGCTCGCTCCATCCATGTTCAACATCTACACAAAGGACCAGCCACTGCCAGAAAGTACAGAGAGTTTCATCTATGCTGATGATCGTGCCATCACCGCTCAAGCAGGGAGCTTTGAGATGGTTGAACAGAAGCTTTCCGAAGCTCTAGGTCAGTGGTTCTCAACCTTCCTAATGCCGCCACCCCTTAGTACACGTTCCCACGTTGTGGTGACCCCCAACCATAATGTTATTTTCGTTGCTACTTCTTTAATTTTGCTACTGTTGTGAATCGTAATATAAATATCTGATATGCAGGATGTATTTTCATTCACTGGACCAAATTTGGCACAAATACTCAAAACACCCAAATTTGAATACTGGTGGGGTTGGAGAGGAGATTGATTTTGTCATTTGGGAGTTGTAGTTGCTGGGATTTATAATTAACCTACAATCAGACAGCACTCTAAATAGAGATGTGCCTTTCATCTCAAGAACAGACAAGCATCCCGAGCTCTGAAGATTATTACCTGGGAAGGAATCCCACTGGAGCATTGCAGCACACCCAAATACCTGGGAGTCACTCTGGACCGTGCTCTGACCTACAAGAAGCACTGCCTGAACATCAAGCAAAAAGTGGGTGCTAGAAACAATATCATACGAAACCTGACTGGCACAACCTGGGGATCACAACCAGACACAGTGAAGACATCTGCCCTTGCGCTATGCTACTCTGCTGCTGAGTATGCATGCCCAGTGTGGAACACATCTCACCACACTACAACAGTGGATGTGGCTCTTAATGAGACATGCCGCATTATCACAGGGTGTCTGCACCCTTGGAGACTAGGACGCGGAACAATGGCTTCAAACTACAAGAGAGGACATTCCATCTGAACATGAGGAAGAACTTCCTGACTGTGAGAGCTGTTCAGCAGTGGAACTCTCTGCCCCGAGTGTGGTGGAGGCTCCTTCTTTGGAAGCTTTTAAACAGAGGCTGGATGGCCATCTGTCAGGGGTGATTTGAATGCAATATTCCTGCTTCTTGGCAGAATGGGGTTGGACTGGATGGCCCATGAAGTCTCTTCCATTTCTATGATTCTATGACATAATAAGAGCCATGGATAAATAGATGAGGAGAAGTCATAGGAAGGAGGGAGCAGGCTTGTTTTCCACTACCCTGGAGACTAGGACGCAGAACAGTGGCTTCAAACTACAGGAAAGAAAGGATAATAATAATAATAATAATAATAATAATAATAATAATAATAATAATGTGGTCATTGGCGCACTGGGTGCTGTGCCAAAAGATCTCGTAGAATCATAGAATTGGAAACAATAAACAGCGACAAAATCACGATCTGTCAGCTGCAAAAGGGCACCTGACTTAGATCTGCGCGCATCATTCGAAAATACATCACACAGTGCTAGATGCTTGGGAAGTGTTCAACTTGTGATTTTGTGATACGAAATCCAGCATACAGATCTCGTTTGCTGTGACATACTGTGTTTTTGTGTCAGTAAAATAATAATAATAATAATAATAATAATAATAATAATGAGTTTTGAAGCAGAATATTCCACAATTGTGGAAAAAAACCCAAAGTATGGATCGTTGATGTTGCAATCCCAGGTGATAGCAGAACTGATGAGAAGCAACTGGAAAAGCTTACATGATACAAGACTGATCGAACTGCAAAGGCTCTGGCTCGAACCAGTAAAGGTGGTCCTAGTGGTGATTGGCACACTGGGTGCAGTGCTTAAAGACCTTGGCTTGTACTTAAAAACAATCGGTACTGACAAAATTGCCAACTGTCAGGTACAAAAGACCACCCTACTTGGATCTGCACACACTATTTACCGATACATCACACAGTCCTAGACACTTGGGAAGTGTCTGATGTGTGATCAAATACAAAAGTCAGCATAGTGATCTTTTTCGCTGTGTACCGATCTTGTTGTATATCTAATAATAATAATAATAATAATAATAATAATAATAATAATAATAATAATAATAATGTATTGTCGAAGGCTTTCATGGCTGGAATCACTGGGTTGTTGTAGGTTTTTTTTTCGGGCTATATGGCCATGGTCTAGAGGCATTCTCTCCTGACGTTTCACCTGCATCTATGGCAAGCATCCTCAGAGGTAGTGAGGTCTGTTGGAACTAGGATTTTGCAATGGATTTTGCAATGGACCTTGCTGTTCCATTGTGTTACAAAAAAGGTGTGCAGCAGCAAGGACTACATACTACCATGGGGGAAATACACAATCACGTTTTGTAAGGAGAGGGAGTTTGTTACTTGAGATATCACCTGAATTTTCAAATGACTCCAGGAGCATTAAACAATTCACTTTTTCCTCCCCTGAATGCCCAAATACCTCTCAGCAAGGATTGCTCCTTCTAGGACTCAGAAAAAGAACAAATACACATCATCATAAATGGTTGCAATAGCACAATTCCCTTACAAAGCATGTATGTTGTTTGCTTAACCTCTGTGCCCCAGAGACACCAGGTGCCTTTGAGTTTCAAACAAGAAAAGAGGCTTTGTTTGGTTTTGTTAAAAAATAAACTAAGATGGGAGGGGAGGATAAATAATACCAACATTCACACCTAGCTCCAGCAGACAAGAGTCCTTTGTCCCATCCTGGTCATTCCACAGATATATAAACCCCTTTTCCTAGTTCCACCAGACCTCACTACCTCTGAGGATGCTTGCCATAGATGCAGGCGAAATGTCAGGAGAGAATGCCTCTAGACCATGGCCATATAGCCCGAAAAAACCTACAACAACCCAATAATAATAATAATAATAATAATAATAATAATAGTAGTAGTAGTAGTAGTAGTAGTAATAGATTGACAATTGAAAGCATCATTCTTGTCTCAGTCTCAACGCCACTTGCTCTTTAGTGGAAACATTTCACATTTACCTCAAATTCATCTAGTTGTGGGTTTTCTTAGCTGAACTAGACTTGAAATTATAATTCAAAAGCCATCAGTTGGATCTTCATAAAACAAACGAGTTTCCAATAATATATCCAAGTGCTGTCCAGCCAAGAAACCACATCTCACCATTAGATTAAATTTAAGGTAAATGTGTGTATCTTGTTTGACTCTTGACATAGGGACTAATTAGTAGGAGCCCTGTCAGGTAGGTTAAAGCAAGAGATGACAAGAAGCAATGTTCTGGACATGGGTTTCCCACACTGAAATCTAAATCTAGACTTGGATTCTTCCAGCAGTCAGATTTGATTTGGCCAAGAAAGTCCACTCATTGTTGGATGACGAGTGTGTACATTTTTCTCAATGGAGACTCGTGTTTATGAAAGTCAACAATATTTCTTGTGTGATTTGCAACCAAGTGATGACAAGTTGTGAATAATCCCTAAAGACCGGAACAGACATCAAGCGACTTTTGTCCAAAGCTGATACTTGGCAAGGAAAATCAGTCAAATGGACAGAATTAGCTGGAGAAAGGCAATGTCTCCTTTCCCCGTTAGTGAAAGCAATCATTGTTGACAACTGGAATTGCTAGCTATTGGACGCC